GGATTGAATTAGATTATTTTTAATGGTGGAGTCCTACAACCCTAATAAAATTTTTCATATGTTTCTTTTTTGTTTATCCTTCGTAGTTTTATTTTTTCTAAAAAGTACTTTAAACTGTATAAATAATGTAAAATTAAATTGAATTTATTAGTCAATCAGACGAATTTCTGTCTATGAAATCAAACGCCTTGAATTCTACGTAATGAATATGCATTCTTCCTAATCGAGCCACAAAAAGAATATTTGGAGAATGATGGCGTTTAAATACGTAATAACAAAGGATATTAACGAATTGGTACGTAACACCCTCAAAAAGACAATGAAAGAATTTAAGATTAAGTACGTATCGGTATCATTTAATTGCTGATTTAGACATAAATAAATGATGGTCAAAAATCATAAGTACAGTGCTGGAGTATAATTGACCATTTTATGTATCTATTATTATTTGATGATATCTGACAAATGACGAAATATTTCTTCAAGTAATTTTATTTTCATATTGCAAAAATAAATTAGTCAATGTGAATTATTTTTTGCATTAACTGTTATTGTATTTACTTAAATTTCTATTTTTTTTTTTTTTATGATATCAAGTACTTACCCGATGAGTCTGAAAAAAATCGATAATAAATACTGCTTAATTTTTAGAAGTTGATTTTTGTTTAAGATCAGAAAATTAACTTGTATTGATTGATTGACTGCAAGACAAGATTAAATATGAAAAACTGGTTTACATGTTTCTCCTTAACATAGAACATTATTTACAATTATTATTGTTATGGTGTTTCCGAGTTTGACACCAAATGTAATATCACGCAACGTAAAGGTATATGAAAATCAAAACAGAGAGCAATAATGATATTATTTATTTATAAGAACAATTTCATTGTTTTAATGATGCTTTATACGCAAATAAATGTTGTATTATATAAATAAATATTGTATAAAATAACAAAACCAAATTTAGATAAGTAGTTTTGTTTAAATATCTTTATTTAATAATTTTTTCTTGGCCGCGTAATCAACGAACTGAAAATTTAAAATAAAAGTTTTAGTATACAGAAAAAAATTTAAATCTTGGCTAGAAATAATTTAAACTTACCTCATCAAAAAGAATAAGTCCACCCTTATTTTTATCAATCGAATCAAATTCCTCTTTAAGTTTTTCATCTGAATATCCCTCTAATAAAATGAGTTTATGTCCCTTCTTAAACTCTTCAAAAGTAATACGTCTGTCATGATCTACATCAAGGCTTTTGAAAATTTCGTGTAGCTCTTTATAATAAAAAAGAAGATCAAGAAGACGACCGAATTCTTCACGTTGAACGTAGCCATCCTGATTTAACATTTTTTTGTTAGTTGAATGTATGTTTCGAATAAGTATAATGTAAATTAAACAAAACAAACTTTTGAAACATCCGCAGCTTTATAAGCTCGCAATATAGCAGGTTTATTGTCTTTATATTCTGGCAAATTTGTGATTACGGCAGTTTGTATTTCAGAGAGAGATAATAAGCCGTTGCCATTGATATCGAATTGATTAAAAATCTAACACAATAATAATAATAATAATAATAATAATAATAATAATAATAATAACAACAAAATTAATGACTTTGAAATACGAAATAAATTATTTATTGTTACAACTGCAAGGAAAGCGTGTGCAGTTCATAGTAGCCTTAATTACCTGCCCGATTTCTTCTTCACTTAATTTGTTAGTCATGTTTTTTTTGAAAAAAAATTTTATTCGGATGAAATTTGAGAGAACTTTTATAAGATTTACCTTGACTAGAGATGTGCCGTATGCATTATGCAGGCGATGTTGCATGCTATGCCATTTGCCTAAAATTTAAAACTACACATAGAAGTTATTATGTAATTTTGATCCATGTCATTTAATCAACAGTTACTTTAGACATTTGTTCCTATAAAATTCATAGCCTGTGAAATCCAATAAAAAATTAATCTGTTTTCACTAAATAAATCCAATATTTTATGTTTTAAAATCCGATAACCTCTCAGTAATACGTAATACATAGTCTGTTCACTGCATAAAGGTTTTGAGAGGTCACAGTATATTATAATTGCATAATGTATCATGCAACATAATGTTGCATTATGTAATGCAAGGCCAAAAAAACTGGCATTTGCACATCTCTAACCTTGACTTAAATTTCACAATTTAAGCGGTCGTACATATGAAAAAACTTTCTGATTATGAATAAATATGGTCACATTGTGTAAACAAACATATTGTGTAAAAAACATTTGTGACATCGTGTTGTAATTATTTTGTCCATTATGGATACATTTAGCTACGTTAACTATTAAATGATTGTTGACTCTATTTAACGAGTTATTACCAGTTAGATGAGGATAGATTTTATCTAAATATATATATATTCGTATAAATATGTTAGAGCTCTTACCCGGGTCAGAAAATACCGACCCGGGTTATAACCCGGGTCAACGGGTCAAACGGAAATCCATAAAGTTTTTGAAGTTAATCCTTAAAAGCTGATGCAACGATACTTAATTAGAGCTGTTAGTATATAGAACAGCTGTACTCCAATTATTCAAATTGAAATTCTTAGAAAAAATTTTTCGATCTTGCTCGTGATTTGAGTTCGCCAATTTTCTACACCGACCGAGAAATACAAGAAACTGACCCGCACGGGTTAGACGACCCGGGTAAAAGCTTTGCTATTTAGTAAACTATAATTTCTTCTACCTATATAGTAAATTATGTAATATATATAGTGTTTTAATAGGTTTTTGCCTACTTTAAATTCTGACCCGTTTGACCCCAATTTTCGGACCGTGACCCGTACGGGTCAACCGACCCGGGTAATGGCTCTAAAATATGTATTATGTATCATGCGATTTTACATTCATTTGAATACCAATTGTTCACCCATCTTCTAGAACAATTTAAATTTGTTCATTCTCCGAAAGCTCTATGGTCTTAACTTACAACTTAGTGGTATGAGCACAATGCCGTAATTTATAATAAATAAAATGCTGTAATTTCCGGAGTTGAGCGGAGGATCTTAAGTCCAGTCAATTGGTAAGAAATTTTGGGTTCCAACGTCGGTCACAAGTATGTACAGATTTCATAAGTCCAATCGACCAAAATCATTTCAGTTATTGTTGTTTTTAGATGTACAGTATGTGATGTATGATGACGTATTAAAATTTAGCCTCTATAACGTATTTAATTTAACTTCTACATGCAATTTCGAACCAATTGAATATCCATATTCAATATTAATTTTTCACAATAATTTATGGTTATATGATCTTTATATAATAACGGCAATAATAAGACGACATTGACAGTATTGGCCTCTTTAAAAGTTCTTTCATATTGTAAAAGCAAAGTATTTAGGCCAATAATGAAAATATTATAGTAAACATAATGTAATAAGTTCTTATAAAGTTAATTCGCATAATATAAAAGAAATTAAATTCACATAAATAATGATAATAATAAAAATACAATTCATGTAATTAATACAAAAAAATTCATCGGGGAATTTTTAAATAGGGTGGGCATCGAAAAAAATCGATAAAATCATTGATAATCATTGATATTAATTGTCAATCTCATCGATTATAATCTTAATATAGTTATTAATCGATGCATAATGTTTGCAATCGATTAGATGACCATCGATTATAGTTGTTAATCGATGCATCAGATTTAATATATACAGCATTTGTTGCATTAGCTTACCGAGACTTTATAACTATTAAAAAATTTTGTTTATTAGACACACTAACATGTTTGTCATTGTTGACCCAATCTTAACCACATACGGGTGTCACTGCAATAGCGAATAGATTCTGCAATGAAATATTTTATAGTTTTATAGTAAATTTTAGAAATTGTGACAATTCCAATTCAATCTAACCCAACCTTGACGACATACTAGGCGTCATCGTAATGGTGTGTAGATTCTGTAATGGAATTTTTACAGTAATTCACACATTAATTCCAATCTAAACTAACTCTTCTTTAACAACATACTGGGGTGTCATTGTAATAGCAAGTAGGTTCTATAACGAATTTTTCATATTCCAATTCAAACTATTTGACCTTGATCACTTGCAATAGTGAATAACAGCGTATGAAATCCAAGCTTTTATTTATGTGCGCTAAATGAATAAAAATGAATATTGAACAAAATTCTATGTGCGCAATTATCTTAAGCGTATATACACTGGTGAGTAGTTCTGTAATTGAAAAATCTCAACAATTCCAATTCAGACTAACTCATAATTAACCACATACTAGGTATCACAGTAATAGTGAGTAGGTTCAATGATGAAATTTTTACAGTAAATTCACAATAGAAATCACAATAATTCCATTCCAAATTAGCTTGATCACATACTGGGTGACATCGCAATAACAAATAGTAGTAAGTAGGTTCAGTATAGAATTTTTGCATTTAATTATTATAGAAATGATATAATTCCAATCCAAACTAACTTTAACCATATACTGGGCGTCATTATAGTAGCAAGTAGATTCTATAGTAGAATTTTTCAGTAAATCATAATAATTCCAACTCAACCTTGTTCACTTGCTAGGCGTTACTGCAATAACGAGCAAGTTTTCTGTAACAGAATTTTTTACGGTAAATCACAATAGAAATTACAATTCAAACCAACTCAACCTTGACCACAACTGGCTGGCCCCACAAAAGTAAATAGGTTCTGTAACGAAATTACAGTAAATCACAATATAAATCACAATAATCCCAATTCAATCAACTCATCTTTAACCACATACTGGACGTCATTCGTAATAGCGAGTAGGTTCTTTAAGAATTTTTTAGTAAATCACATAGCCCAAATTCAAAATAATTCAACCCTGATCATTTACTAGGTGTCACCACAACTGTGAGTAGGTTCTGTAATAATTTCCTCAGCAAATCACAATAAAAGTAAGTTCTGTAACAGAAATTTTTACAGTAATTTACAATATAATTCCAATCCAAATTATCTTAACCAAAATACTGGACATCACCCCAATTGTAAGTAGTTCTTACAGTAAATCGCGATAGAAATCATAACCAACTCATCTTCAACCACATAATGGGCTTAATCATAAAAGAAGGTGAGTTTTGTAACAGAATTTTTCAGTAAATCACTACAGCAATCATGATAATTCTAACTCAAACCAACTCAACCTTTACCACTTTCTGGGTGTCACTGCAATAACGAGAGGTTTTGAAATAATTTTTACAGTGAATCGTGAATCACAATAGAAATCACGACAATTCCATTTCATACCAACCCACATACTAGGTGTCACCACAATAGTGAATAGGTTCTGTAATACAGAACGGCCCTAGCCCAATGCTGGGACGACCTTCAGCCTGCATCTATGTGGGCCAGGTCAGTTGATATAAGTATTAGATTTGATTCTCTTTTAAAGCATGTTTTAGACTAAAAATCGTCTAGTCACTTATAACAATGTATATATTCTTTAGAAGGCTAATTTAGATGATAAATTGGTAAATAACAAATTTAAATAATCTAATCAGGTCATGGGCATGCCATTTAGAATTTTTGGATATTAACCCTTTTAAATCAATTATCAGTTTTAGTCCGACAGGCATAAATAACACACCCAGAAGCAACTCGTGATTTTCATCTTACTAGGGTTCTTTTGCCAGGTTAAAGAAAAATAAAGGCATATCCCGATTAGAAATAGTTAAAGGTGATATCTTTCAGGATTTTGTGGTTAACCCATTGAAATCATAATCCTGATACAAAACTCCATTAATCAAATATGTTTTATTGGGCTAGTGAATAAGTTTTAAAGAATATTTTGCAATAGCTTATAATTGAAATTAATACTAACTCAACTATAATTGTATGCTGTAGTTACTGGAGAGCAAGTTCTGTAACAGAATTGTTTACACCGAAAATTAATTCATCAGCAAGTTTATTTCAATTATTTCACCGACATTTGTTTACCAACACGTTTAATTTACTGACATATTTAGTTTACCAACAATTGATTCACAGACAGTTACTATAGCAACTTACTTATTTCATCGACAATATATTGTACCGATGTCACTGTTGTAACATTTCTGTGCCTCAATATTGCATTATTTCTTTATTTCCGCCCCTATATTATAATTATTATTATCCATTATAATTCATGCTTAATCTTGTTTCCGATTGTTCTTTCATCACCCCACCTTATTTCTATTCTTGTCATTTGCCCTTACTTATTTGTTTCTTTATACTCTTTCTCCGATATTCCGTATAGTTATTTCCTGCTCTTCTGATCCAAGATAATTATTATTGAGATTTAACGTTATTAAGAAGAAGTTCTTGCAAAGTGCATCAGCTAATGCTTTTTCTCCTTCGGATCCAAGTTCACTACTAAGAAGACCTAACTTAGTTAATAAGGAATTCTTGCAAAGTGCAATAGCTAATGCTTTTCTACCTTTAAATCTAATTTTATTATCATAGAGATTTGATGTTGTTAAGGAGGTGTTCTTGCAAAGTGCATCGGCTAATGCTTTGGATTCAAGATAATTTTTATTGAGATTTAACGTTGTTAAGGAGGTGTTTTTGTAATGTGCAACAGCTAATGTCTTTTCTACTTCGGGTCTAAGATTAATATAAGAAATATCTAAAGAGGTTAAGGAGGAGTTCTTACAAAGTACCTTTGTTAGCTCGTTTAAATATTTCAATTCACATTTATTCCAAGATAGATCTCAAGTTAAAGCGCTTTTTTGCTTATAATCAGGACTATGATGACTATTTTCAAGTATTTCCTTAAAAAATTCTAATACTTTGAGAAATTTGTATTGGTTAAAATATTCTTGTGCTTCCTTTCTCAAATTTTTAAAGAAACTACTATCCTGCTCTAAAGTATTCAAATTTATCATATCAGATAGACAACCTGGAGATGAAGTTGTAATTTCAAGTGAATTTTTGAATATGTTTATATTAACTTAATTGAAGAAATTTTACTATTTGGAGATGATGTTTTAATAGGATTGTATTGTTTCAAAGTTTCAATAGAAATAAGTTGCTTTAAAGTATTAAGAATTAATTTTGGTTCTGGACGTTTGGCAGGATCATTGTCCCAACATTTTTGGTAAAGTTAAATATATTGAGATGGTGTACCTTCTATAGGTTTTCTCTATTTCCTTGATATATATAAAAGCAGAGTTCAATCTTGAATTCGAAGGTTTAAAATGGAGGTTTACCACTTGAAATTTCCCAGAGGATTATCCCAAGACTATAAATATCTGATCTCTTATCATGCTTATATCCTTGTTTAATAAAACATCGAGGTTAGATTATAGTTGTTTGACGTAGAGTTAACGTTAATACCTCTATCCGGATATATACTATGTCATGTGATATAACGTGACATAATGTTTTTATATCCGGATATAAATAAATCCGGACTTAAATTTATATCCGGATTTATACTATGATAAAACCGGATTAATCCGGATATAAAAAATATATCCGGATATATAAACCCGGATAGAGGTATTAACTCTAGTTTGACGAAAGACAAAACCTAATCCTCAAAATGACGAAACCTCTGATAAAAGGCGAAACCTCAAATTCTGCTAACGAAAGACGAAACCCAAATTCAAAATGACGAAACCTTAGTGCTAAAAAAAAAATAAAAAAAAATAAAAATAAAAATAAAACTGAATTGATGAAACTTTATGATAATAATGAATCCCTACTGCTCTCACTAAAAAATTACTAGTAAAATTTTGGTCTAGATGAAGCTATCAATAAAAATAATAAAATTATCTCTATAATTTAGATATTTAACCCGTCGAATGAAACTTTTTATTTATATTTATTACTGAAGATGTTTATTGACTTGTATGTATATTTAGGTTTTAAAAGGCTAATTATAGAAATTATAAATAGCAAATAAGCTATTAGTATCTATGTTTAATATTAAAGATGTTTATTGGCTTGACCTGGCTTGTATATTTAGGTTTTAAAAAGCCAATTGCAGAAATTTTATAATTGAAGATCTGAAAAGAATATATATGTACATATGTACCTCTTATTAATTTTTATTATCTGTGATAAAAAGTCTTTTATTGATTTAGCCAATAGGTGTAATAATTTTTTAATTAATATCGATATACTGAAATATGTGAAATAATCTTAATTGTACTAATTTACTTAATTGATTAATTACTTCTTAAATTACTTATTAAAATTGATACAATTGTATGTTTTAAATTTTAGTTTTATAAATATAATTGTGGGGCCAGTGGCGCCCTTACTTACACTTGCTTCCATTTCTCATCTTTTATTAGTTTCGTACCCTTTGCAGTTTTATCAATTTTGTCAGTTTTATTACCTTTTGTTAGTTTTGTTACCTTTGACCAGTTTTGTCACCTTTCATTATTTTGTCATTTGAGATTTTAGTTGATGAAAGATGAAACTAGATTTCGCATTTTGTCAGTACAAAACCTCAAGGTTTCATTTAACAACTATAGGTTAGATATATGCCGGCATTCTATAAACAATTGAGTTTGAAGTCTTAGACATTTCATTCATCTGCTTTGATAGTCTAAAATCTGTAATCTTTGGTTGTCTTTGATGGATTAAGATGTTTTTTGAATGCTAAATTATCATATAATGATTAAAGTATGTATTAGTAAAGTATATATTAGTAAAGTATTTATTAGTCAATTAATAACTAATAACTGATAAATATAAAATCTATTAAATATAACATAGTACTTACCAAATTTCTATGAATAATATTATT